AACCTCCACCTCCTGGGTACAAGCTATTCTCCTGTGTCAGTCTCCCAAGTAACTGGGATTACAGGCATGTACTTGAGGTTAGAAGTTAGAGACCAGCCTGGCCAACATGGTAAAACCCTGTCTCTACTAAAAATACAAAAATAAACCAGGCATGGTGGCTGGCGCCTGTAATCCCAGGAACTCGGGGCAGTCTGAGGCATGAGAATTGCTTGAACCCAGGAGGCAGAGGTTGTAGTGAGCTGAGATAAACTCCACTGCATGCCAACCTGGGGGACAGAGCAACATTTTATCTTCAGGAGAAAAAAAAGGAGGAGAATTGGAAAGTGGTATCTAGAGGCATTCAATAAAATTTGATGTTAAGAGACAAAGGGAAAAAATGGAGAGTGAAAAAAAGCGATACTTCAAGAGCTTAGCTGGTATTTTTATCAGAGATAGTGTTTCTTGGACTCTTCTCCATTAAAAAAGTGGCCAGGTATAGTGACTCATTTTTGTAACAATAACACTTCAGGAAGCCAAGGCAGGAAGATTCCTTGAGGCCAGGAGTTCAAAACCAGCCTGGGCAGCACAGCAAATCTCCATTGCTCCAAAAATGATTTTTTTTTTCACTTTCACAGCAGGTTTCTGATCACAGAATTGTGCTTGAAGTCAATGATTAAAAGGTAATGAAAAATTATTATGTGCTTGGAAATTCAAAGTACCTTCATAAGATATCAACAGAAGAAAGAATCCAAAATGAAACAAGACTGCCTTTACACTCAGTGAGAAGATCACAACATGGCAATCAAATGTCTCCCTCTGTCCCAGGAATTCCACTGTGTGGCACAAGGTTGTGTGGTCTCAAATCACCCCTAACCCCCATAGACATTTTAACATCTGAAACAGGGTGATGGTATCACTTATCTATATTATCTTACTGCCTGTGAAGGTGGACTTTTAATTCTGAACCCTAATGAGGGGGAGACAACCAAGTTCTCTCAATTCTCTTGCCTCAGCTTCCCAAGTAGCTGAAATTACAGGCACCTTCCCACAACCCCTGCCATAGGGTGAGTAATATCTCACTGGCTCCCCCTGCCCCTGGATATTACATACTCTATGGCTAGAGGTTGCCCACAGCGGTATTTAGAAAATTTGTGTGTGGTGTATATGAGGTATGTGTGTGGTGTGTGAGGTGGGTAAGATATGTGTGGTGTATGTGGCATGTCTGGGGTATGCGTGTGGGGTGTGTGAGGTGGGTATGGTACGTGTTCAGTGTGAGGGGGAAATGATATGCATGGTGTGTGGTGTGTATGGGGTATGTGTGTGGAGTCTCAAGTTTTTTTCTGGCTGGTAGTGTTTTTAGGCATTCCAAATGTAGATTGTCTTTTTATTTATTTATTTATTTTGACGTAAAGCAGGCATATCTAATTTTTTGGCTTCCCTGGACAATATTATAAGAAGAAAACTTGTCTTAGGCCACACATAAAATACATTAACACTAACAGTAGCTGATGATCTTAAAAAAAAAAAAAATCACAAAACGGCCAGGCTTGGCCTCGCAAAGTGCTGGGATTACAGGTGTGAGACACTGCGCCCCGCCCTTCTTCCATTCTTGCTCAGTTTTTCCTTTTTTCTCTCTCCTTCTGCCTCCTTTTTTTTCCTTGATATCCCAAAAACCACAGGGAATATATATAAATCGTAATTCCAAGAGAAATTTTAAAAAATTTTTTTAGAGACAGGGTCTTGCTCTGTCACTTAGGCTGGAATGCAGTGGTAAGATCTCGGCTGTCTGCAACCTCCACCTTCTGGGCTCAAGTGACCCTCATGCCTGAGCCCCCAAAGTAGCTGAGACTATACAGGTGTGCAGCACTGCACCTGGCTAATGTGAAAAATATATGCAAAATAGCCAAGCATGGTGGCAGGTGCCTGTAATACCAGCTACTCAGAAGGCTGAGGCAAGAGAATGGCTTGAACCCAGGTGGAAGAGGTTGCAGTGAGCCAAGATTGCACCACTGCACTCTAGCCTGGGTGACTGAGCAGGACACTCTCAAAAAAAAGAAAAAAAAGATTTTTTTGTGTGATTTTTTTTTTTTTCAGACAAAGTCTCCCTCTTGTCTCCCAGGCAAGGGAAGAGGAAGTATGTTTTATTTTTACAACCTAGATAATTACCTGCCATTTGGGACTGCCTTTCAAGATATGTAGAAAACAGAAAACAGATGACTAATGAAGATATCTATGCACATTTAACAGTCTCTTCTTTTTTTTTTTTTGAAATGGAGTCTCACTCTCTGGCAAGTGGGAGGAAGACAAAGAGGATGGTGAGCAGGGAACGGGGAGGGGGGGGGTGAGCAGGAGGGAGAGAAGATTTGCAAAAACACAATTGGAAGAAAAGAAAGACAGGGAAAGAAGACAGTGGTTAAAATGATTTGGGGTAGATAGAGGTGGGGGGGAAGATGGTGGCAAGTGGGAGGAGAAAAGGGGGTTCAGAGAGGGAGGGGAAGAGAGTGGCGAGCAGGAGGAAGAAAAGGTTTTGTGAAAAGACAGGAGGAAAGTTTTTAAGTAGATGGAGGGGGAAAAGAGGGTGGCAAGCAGGAGAAGAATAAAGGTGGCGAGTGGGAGTGGGGAAAGAGGGCTGGGAAAAGGACGACGGGGAAAATAGTTTGGGGTATCTGGAGGACAAAAAGGGTGGCAAGCAGGAGGAGAAGGGTTTGTAAGAAAGGGGTGGGTAGATGTTTTTAGGTAGATTGAGGAGGGAAAAAGGGTGGCAAGGAGGGGAAGAAGATGGTGGGGAAAACAATTTTGGGCATATAAAGGGGGAAGAGGTGGCGGGCAGCAGGAGTGAGAAGGCTTTGAGAAAATATGGGGGAAATGTTTTTGTGTAGATGAAGGAGCAAAAGAGGGTGACGAGAGCAGGAGGGGGAAAAAGAACGTGGCCAGGGAAAGGGAGAAAAGACAGTGGGAAAAAACAGTGAAGAAAAGTTTTTGGGTAGATGGATGGCAAAAACAGTAGTGAGCAGGAGCATAGAGAAGGCCTTTCGAAATGACAGTGGGGAAAAATGGTGGAAAAGTTTTGGGGTTGATGGAGGAAGAAAAAGGGTGGCAAGAGGGAGCAGGCCAAAGGTGGTCAGGATAAGAAGTTGGGCAAATAACGGTGGGGAACAAAGGTTTTGGGTAAACCTTTTTTCTGATTTTTAAATCAGATTATTTTTATTTTTGCTTTTGAGTAGTTTGAGTTTGTTATATGTTTTGTGTGTTAACTCCTTGCCTCATGCATAGTTTGCAAATGAATTCTTCCATTTTCTGGATTGTTTCTTCATGCTACTGATTGCTTCCTGTGCTTTGCAGAAGCTTTTACCTTTAATGTAATTGCATTTGTCTGTTTTTGCTTTTGTTGCTTCTGCTTTTGATGTCTATTTGAAAATCCCATGTCCTAACCAATTTCACGAAGCATTTATCCTATTTTTCCTTCTCTGGTAGTTTCATAGTTTCAGGTCCTACATTTAAATCTTTATTTTGAGTAGATTTTTGTATATGGTAAGATAACGGTCTAGATTTATTCTTGTACATGTGGGTATTATGTTTTCCTAGCACACAGTTTATTGAAGAGACTGTCCTTCCTGAAGGTGTTTTTGGTGCCTTTGTTAAAAATGAGTAGACAGTAAATGCATGAATTTATTTCTGAGTTCTCTATTCCGTTTCATTTGTCTATGTCTGTCTGTCATTCATCTATCTCTATCTATCTCTGTCTCTCCCTGGCCCTTTTTTTTGGTGCCAGTTCCATGCTGTTTTGGTTACTATAGGTTTGTAGCATATTTTGAAATTAAGTAGTGTGATGCTTCCAGCTTTTATCTTTTTATGCAAGATTCTTTTGTCTGAGGTATTTTGCATGTCTATGTAAATTTTAGGATTCCTTTTTATTTCTATGAAAAATGTATTTTGTAATTTAATGAGATTATGCTCATTCTGTAGATCCCACTGGGTGATATAGATATTTTAAAAATATTCTATGCTTGGACATGGAATATCTTTCCACTTACATGTGTCTGCTTTAATAGGTTTTATCTATTTACAGTTTTCATTGTGGGATCTTTCACCTTTTTTATTAAATTCATCTCTAGGTATCATTTTTTGGTGGAGGCAGTAGCTACTGTAATGAAGTAGCTTTCTTGATTTCTTTCTTAGGTGTTTCACTATTGGCACATGGGTGTGCTACTCATTTTTGTATATTGATATTGTATCTTTCAATTCTAGCAAATTTATTATTTCTAGTAGGTATTTTTGGTAAAATCTTTAGGGTTTTATATATATATAATGATATATATATAAAATCATTTCACCTGCAAACAGAGACAATTTGACTTCCTTTTTTCCAATTTGGGTGCCTTTTATTGCATTATCCTGTCTAATTGCTCTTCCAGTATTATGATATTGTGATAAATAAAAGTGGTAAAAGTAGCCATAGTTTTTCCAGATCTTAGAGAAAGAGCCTTTTAACTTTTCCCCATTGTTTATGTTGTTAGCTGTGTTTTTGTCATACATGGCCCTAACAATGGAGATGGTTCTAGTTATGGGTTTGGCATACAGGCTGACTGCTGTGTTAAGAAAAATTTCTATCCCTAGTTTGTTGGGTGTTTTTATAATGAAATGGTGTTGGCTTTGTGGAAAGTACTTCCTGCAACTGTGGAGATGAGTACCTGGGTTTCTTCATTCTGCTTATTTGAAGTTTATTTGCAGGGATGGCTTTAGTATGCAAAACCAGTTTGATTTTCTGAGAAAAGGATATAGTGATCATGGTCTGTAATTCTTCAAATGTGTCTTAGTATCAATGTATGATTATTTTATTGAGCATTATTTATTGTATAATTATGCTAGACATTGATCTTTGCCTTTCTGTTCTTGTAATTTGATTTCCTAGTGTAATTTAGTATTAAATTGTGGATGGGATTGCCTACAGGTTGGTTTTGTATTTAGAGCATTAAGGGTTAGATGTTTGGAGGATAAAATTGAGCAGAAATGGGACATACCTGAGGGATTGTGGGGAAGAGTGGCATGAGATCCGAGTTATTGAGGGTTGAGAGTTAGCAAGAGAATGCCTGTAGCTTTCACCAACAGTAAATATTATCAGTCCTTTTCATCTTGCAAACCAGGCAGGCAAAGATACTTCAACGTTTTAATTGGCACATCACTGAGTTCCTTGTTGAGGCTCAAACTCAGAAGGAGTTCCTGGAAATAAATTAGAACACAGAAGTGAGAAGGTTGGAGTGCAACTTTGTGACAGTGCATCAGCCAGTGGCTGAGCTGCAGAGGTTCCCACCTTATTTCAAATTTTTATGGAAAATAAATGTTTTATACTGTTATCTCACAGAGAAACTGGACTTTTTCAAATTTATATGGCTAATTTAATATATTTTTGAGTTAGAGACTATAATCTTCTAGCTTTCCCTAATATTTTCCTCATATTTTGTCAGCAACCCTGAGTAAATCCCAATGCATGGTGAAAACCACATTTGGAATATTTTAACTGCTGGCTGTGTGGAAAATCACCTGCATCCCCAATTTTCAACTATAAAAAGGCAAGTATTTATACTGAAGAGCACAGAATTTTGTGACTATGATAAAAGATAATATGTGAGATTCCTGGCAAAATTTGACACATGAAAATGGTCATATGTAGACTGCAGACAAATATATGTACATGTTAATGGAAGTGTCAGTCACACTTTGGATCTTGTAATCAGGAGGCCTGCATCTAACCCTGTGAATGTGAGAACCTAGTTCCAATTCAGCTACTGCCAACAAAGCTTGGGTCAGGTGCTTGGTCACAGCCTCTACTAGCCTCATAGTCTTTGTTTTTTATTTTTATTTTTGAGACAGAATCTTGCTTTGTTGCCCAGGCTGGAGTGCAGTGGTGCAATCTTGGTTCATTGCAACTTCCACCTCCTGGGTGTTGAAAACATGCACTTTGAATGAAGAGACCCCTCCCCCCCAAACTGGCTTTGTGTGAGCAACACGGCTGTTTATTCACCTGGGTGCAGGTCGGCTAAGGCCAAAAAGTTCATTAGTGAAGGGTGGTGGGATAGGAGTGGTTTAATAGGTTTGGCATTGGCAGTGGAAAGTTACAGAGTAAGATCAGTTACAGTGGTGAGGGTAGGGGCAAAGAGTATACATTACCATAAGCTTAGTTACAATGGTAGCTGGATGTGAGGCAGAAGAGCATTAAGATGACAGGATAAAGGAAGATCCAAGATGGCCTTTTAGGAGCAGCTCAGGATTGCAGCTCCCAGTGAAAGTGCAGAGGGTGAGTGGATGCCACATTTCCAGACGGATTTTTATTGCCCACAGACCAGGAGATTCCCAGGCAGAGGAGCCTCATGGGTCACCAGCACAGCTGTTTTGGCCAGCACAGCTGTTTCAGCCAGCACGGCTGCTTTGCCAGTGCCCCAGCATGGCGGTTCTCCATACAAAATATGCTAGCCTGGTTTCCCTTTTAGGCTGGCAATTGGAGCTCCTAGAAGGCTGATTCACCCATTCATCTGATTAAACAGGGGTCTGAAACAGGGAGCCAGGCCAGGAGATTGCCAGGCAATGCCATTGTTTCAGCTGGCCCAGTAGGTCACTGCACAGGAAATCACATGGATCCCAGCACCCTTTCAGCAGGTGACTGAAACACTTGGGAGAGAGTCAACCATTCAAAATTAAAAAAACAAAAGGCTCTGAGGCAGGAAGCCAGGTGATCAGGCTTGGCGGGTCCCACTCCCCACAAAAACAAAAAAAAACATGGCAATTGGAAATGATCGGGGTTGAAGTTTTATGGCAAGCACAGCTGAACCTGGGACAGCCCAGCTCTGTGGGGGAGGGAAGTCTGCCATTACCGAGACAATCCACCCCTACAGAGGTAGTCTGCCATTGCTGAGGCAGCCTGCTGTTGCCGAGGCAACCCACCATAACAAAAAGAGTCCACCATTACAGAAGTGGGCCACCATTGCTGAGGCAGTTCTAACCACACCCATATAAACAAGACTGCAGGGAAGTTCACACAGCAGCAGGGCAGAGTGCACAGCAGCTCAGCAAAGCCTGTGCAGGCAGACACTGACTGGGCTTCCTCCTTGCTTGGCAGAGCAGCCCTGAAAAAAATGAAGCAGCACAATAGATACTCATAAATAAAGCCCTAACACCCCAGGACAGAGTTCCTGGGGAAAAAGGGGGTTTATGAGTTCTGCTGCAGCAGACCTAAATGTAACTGCTCAGCAGCTCTGAATGAACAATGGCACTCACAACTCAGCACTTGAGCTCCTATAAAGGTCAGACTGTCTTCTCAAGCAGCTCCCTGACCCCCATATATCCAAGGAGTCACCTCACAAAGGACTAATCAGACTGACATTTGGTGGGCATTATTCTGGGACAATGATAGCAGAAGAAGAAACTGGTAGCAACCCTTACTGTTCTGCAGCTGCTGCAGGTGATCCCCAGGCAAGCAGGGCCTGGAGTGGACATCAGTAGTCCTACAGCAGAGAAGCCAGACTGTTAGAATGAAAACTAAGAAACAGAAATAACTTCATCATCAACAATCTGGACGTCCACTCAGAGACCCAACCTGAAAATCAGCAACTACACCGATGACAGGTGGATAAATCCACAATGATGGAAAGAAACCAGCGCAAAAAGGAGTAAAACACCCAAAACCAGAACACCTCTCCTCCTACAAGGGATTACAACTCCTCACCAGCAAGGGAACAAAGCTGGATGGAGAATGAGTGTGATGAAATAACAGAATCAGACTTCAGAAGGTGGGTAATGAGAAACTTCCGTGAGCTAAAAGAACATGTTCTAATGCAATGCAAAGAAACTAAGAACCTTGAAACAAGATTTGACAAAATGATAACAAGAATGGACAACTTAGAGAGGAATATGAGTGAGTTGATGGAGCTGAAAAACACAACACGAGAACTTCATGAAGCATGCACAAGTTTCACACCTGAATTGACCAAGCAGAAGAAAGAATATCAGAGGTCGAAGATCAACTCAATAAAATAAAATGAAAGGCAAGATTAGAGAAAAAAGCACAAAAAGGAATGAACAAAATCCCCAAAAAATGTGGGACTATGAGAAGAGACCTAATCTACGCTTGATAGGTGTACCTGAATGTGATAACAAGAATGAATCCAAGCTGGAAAGTACTCTTCAAAATATTCTCCAGGAAAACTTCCCCAACTTAGCATGGCAGGCAAATATTCAAGTTCAGGAAATACATAGAACACCACAAAGATATTCCTCAAGAAGAGCAACCCAAAGGCACTTAATCATCACATTCACCAGGGTTGAAATGAAGAAAAAAATGCTAAGTGCAGCCAGAGAGAAAAGTCAGGTTACCCACAAAGGGAAGCCCATCAGACTCAGCGCAGATCTCTTGGCAGAATACCTACAAGCCAGAAGAGAGTGGGGCCAAATTTAACATCCTTAGAAAAAAGACTTCCAACCCAGAAATTTATATCCAGCCAAAGTAAGCTTCATAAGTGAAGGAAAAATAAAATCCTTTGTGAACAAGTAAGTACTCAGAGATTTTTGTCACCATCAAGCCTGCTTTACAAGAGCTCCTAAAAGAGGCACTACACATAGAAAAAAACCAGCAGTAACAGCCATTACAAAAACATACCAAATGGTAAAAAGCATCAACGAAATAAAGAATCTGCATCAACTAATGGGCAAAACAGCCAGCTGGCATCAAAATGGCAGTATCAAATTCACATATAACATTATTAACCCTAAATGTAAATGGGCTAAATGCACCAATCAAAAGACAGACTGGCAAGTTGGATAAAATGCCAAAACCCATCAGTATGCTGTATCCAGGAAACCCATGTCACACGCAAGGATACACAAAGGCTCAAAATAAAGGGATGGAAAAATATATACCAAGCAAATGGAGAGCAAAAAAAAAGCAGGAGTTGCAATTCTCATCTCTGATAAAATAAACTTTAAAGCAACAAAGATCAAAAGAAACAAAGAAGGTCATTATATAATGGTAAGAGGATTGATACAACAAGAAGAGCTAACGATTCTAAATATATATGGACCCAATACAGGAGCACCCAGATACATAAGGGAAGTTCTTCATGACTTACAAAGAGGCTTAGACTTCCACACAATAATAGTGGTAGACTTTAACACTTCACTGTCAATATTAGACAGATCAACCAGGCAGAAAATTAACAAGAATATCCAGGACTTAAACTCAGACCTGGAACAAGCAAACCTCATAGACATTTACAGAACTCTTCACCCCAAATCCACAGAATATACATTCTTCTCAGCAGCACATCACACCTACTCTGAAATTGACCACATAATTGGAAGTAAAGCACTCCTCAGCAAATGCAAAAAAATTGAAATCATAGCAAACAGTCTCTCAGGCCACAGTGCAATCAAGTTAGAACTCAGAGAACAATCATATGAAAAAATGCTCATCGTCACTGGTCATCAGAGAGATGCAAATCAAAACCACATTGAGATACCATCTCACGCCAGTTAGAATGGCGATCATTAAAAAATCTGGAGACAACAGATGCTGGAGAGGATGTGGAGAAAAAGGAACACTTTTACACTGTTGGTGGGAGTGTAAATTAGTTCAACCATTGTGGAAGACGGTGTGGCGATTCCTCAAGGCCTTAGAAATAGAAATTCCATTTGACCCAGCAATCCCATTACTGGGTATATATCCAAAAGACTATAAATCGTTCTACTATAAGGACACATGTACACGAATGTTCATTGCAGCACTGTTTACAATAGCAAAGACCTGGAATCAACCCAAATGCCCATTGATAATAGACTGGATTGGAAAAATGTGGCACATATACACCATGGAATATTATGCAGCAATCAGAAATGATGAGTTTGTGTCGTTTGTAGGGACATGGATGAATCTGGAGAACATCATCCTCAGCAAACTGACACAAGAACAGAAAATGAAACACTGCATATTCTCACTCATAGGCGGGTGATGAAAAATGAGAACACATGGACACAGAAAGGGGAGTACTAAACACTGGGGTCTATTGGGGGGAAAAGGGGAGGGCCAGTGGGAGCGGGAGGTGGGGAGGGATAGCCTGGGGAGAAATGCCAAATGTGGGTGAAAGGGAGAAGGAAAGAAAAGCACAATGCCATGTGTGTTCCTACGCAACTGTCTTACATGCTCTGCTCATGTACCCCAAAACCTAAAATCC